CTCTCTCCCTCTCTCTCTCTCCCTCTCTCTCTCTCCCCCTCTCTCTCTCCCCCTCTCCCCCCCTCTCCCTCCCTCCCTCTCCCTCTGTCCCTCTCCCCCACTTGTGTGCGTTCTCTCTCTAAAAATATATATATAGGGGCGCCTGGGTGGCGCAGTCCGTTAAGCATCCGACTTCAGCCAGGTCACGATCTCGCGGTCTGTGAGTTCGAGCCCCGCGTCGGGCTCTGGGCTGATGGCTCAGAGCCTGGAGCCTGTTTCTGATTCTGTGTCTCCCTCTCTCTCTGCCCCTCCCCCATTCATGCTCTGTCTCTCTCTGTCCCAAAAATAAATAAACGTTGAAAAAAAAAATTAAAAAAAAATATATATATATATAAAAGAAATAAATATAAAATATAAAAAGATGGACATTTCTGGAAAAAATTGAGTGTAAATTAAAGTTCTATTATACTTTACCATTAACTTACCTTGTAATTGAGGAGATGAACTATTTTTATTTCTAGGGCAGCTTTAAGTTTCCGAGTCATTTCCCAAGTCATATTTGTATGAAATATGAAACTTAAAGTATTTAACAGAATCTTGTGGCCAATCCTTTTTTAGGTCAAAAGAACTCTAAAGTAAAATTAAGTCATTCCCCTAATTTATTTAACCTAAGTCTGGGTTTTTGTATATCTATGTTTAGATAAGTTGGCTTGAATTTTTAAGACATTCACATTGACATACAATGTCAATATTTTGCTAGTAATATAGCCTTTTTATAACAAATTATTGACATATAATTCATATATCATACAGTTCATCCACTTAAAGTGTTCAGTGGTTTTTAGTATATTCACGGTTTTGCAATTATTACCATATTGTAAATTTATTGATTTGCTTTTTGCAGATAGAAAATTTCCAGTGGTATTAAAGATCCCTGAAAGAGAGTTGGAAAACCTGACTTACTGGTTTGGGCCCTGCCCAGTTGTGGGCAAATGTTTGCGTCCCTAGCCTTTGAAATGCAAAATTTGAGCCATTAATATACTTATTCAGACAACTAAGTTTTTTCTCTGTGGTTACTAAAGGAATAAAAAAAAATAATAACACCACATTGCTGACCCTGGAAAAGCCCGCAGTCCAACAGGCATATAATAAGGTTTCAACTAGCTCGAATGTTCACTGTTTCTTCTTAGTCCTCAAGCAGTAACCATTTAGAAAAATTAGTCTTTCTGGTCATTTGGAATGGGAAACTCCTGTGAGAAGTGTCATTTGGTTGAGTGTTTGAACACTAGGTAGGGCTGTGTTCCTTGTGAACTGTAACTTCACTTTTTGCAATTCAAGGACTGTCTCCCTGTGACCGTATTATAGAGGAAACCACATGTGACTCTCTTTTTTTTCTGTTTTGAAAGGTACTCACAAATCTCTCCGAGTTGGGCTTTTGAAAGTCCCTTCAAGCATTGCCCCTTCCTCTTCCCAGTAAAGATTTTTCTCCTTGGCAGTAGTGCTAATGCTATCTGTGTGGTTCAGGTCGGGGCATTCCCAGTAAGATACAAACAGCTATTCACAAATCTGAGGATTTTCTTTTTTTCCCAGGCCTCTCTGGCAGCGTCCCAAGAGTTCGCTGGCTTTTCACTCTGAACCACAAATAACAGTGCTGCTGAGACAAGTTCCTAGGTCACCTTACACTGGAGAGCCAAATCAGCACAGTAGCAGAGTCTTCTGAATTGACATTTTTCCTTTGAGTAAGGATGCTTTTATTTTTACTCTCTTAACCTTAAATAGCAAACAGACTGCTTTTCTACAACCTAAGTAGAACAGCTTTCTTAGAGAACAAGTGTATTGCTTTGAATAGGAACGTTTTCCCCAAAGTTACTCTTTGCATCTGTGATTGGTTAGCATCTCAGAATAACCTCTGTTTTTATTTTCTGTAAAAGCCACCAAAAAGAGAGAGGATGAAGAATTATTGAGCAGGACCTGATGAATGAGGATGACAAATAGGGTTTTGGAAGTAAACCTGTGTCACAGGGTTGTAGAAAGAGCTCTGGATAAATCAGGGACCTACGTCCTCTCTTGGGGTGCTTCTCAAGGGGGAGTCTTTTAACCCTCCGGGTCTCAGCCTCCCCATTAGTAAGATAAGGAGGTTCCCCTTCTAGATCCATGATTCTATATGGAATACAAAGTTCATGAAAGTTATTCAAGGAATAAATATAGGTGTTATTATAGCACCCTAACATAGCTTTTAATCATCTTTTCAAGATAAATTAACCAGCACCAAAAAAAAAAAAAAAAAAAAAAGTTAGCCAGAACAGATCTCTAACTAAATGCATGAGAATAATTCAAAATATTTAGAGCAGGATTTGCCAAGTATAAGGGTGTTACCCTGATTTTTGCCATGGACTCATTATGCAACCTTGGGCAAGTCACGCTACTGGACTGCACCTTCGTTTTACTTTCTGCAGATGATTGCAATAATGCTAAACTCACCCAAGTGCTGAAAGGCTTAATTAAGGGCTATTAAGTGCTGTAATTACAAGGGAGGAGTTGGTAGTAGTGAATAAAGTGACTTACCTACCATTTGAGACGTTTGGATGTTATAAATATGCCCTTAGAAAAAAAAGTAGGGACAAAAGGTGAAAGATAGAAGTGAGGTTCTTAAGTTTATAAAATAGTTATGTTTCATAATGCTGTTTTTTACAATTAAAAAAAGAAACTCTATTTTGAGACAGACATCCCTCCTTTATCCTTGCCGTCCAATAAAACTTCAGAGTTTCTCATAGTGTATGTCTTTTATGTGCCATCTTAATTTTTCTCAGAAATCATCTTCCTTTGACAAATAAAAGGCAACTTAAGCCCTATTCTCTAGAATGGGAGAAGATTTGGTGACAGCGCCACATTGTGTACGGAAAGCGAATCCATTTTGCTTGTGTGAGAGTCTTTATTAGGGACTTCTAGACCCCTTCCTTGTTTAGAAAATCAGTCCGAGGGGCGCCTGGGTGGCGCAGTCGGTTAAGCGTCCGACTTCAGCCAGGTCACGATCTCGCGGTCCGTGAGTTCGAGCCCCGCGTCGGGCTCTGGGCTGATGGCTCAGAGCCTGGAGCCTGTTTCCGATTCTGTGTCTCCCTCTCTCTCTGCCCCTCCCCCGTTCATGCTCTGTCTCTCTCTGTCCCAAAAATAAATAAACGTTGAAAAAAAAAATTAAAAAAAAAAAAAAAGAAAAAAAGAAAATCAGTCCGAAGCAGCCTGATGGTTTATGGATCATGCTGGGAGTGTAAATTGGCACAGCCACTCCGAAGAGCAACTTGGCATTTCTGCTTCTAAGTATGTACTTGAGAGCAGTGGTTCTCAAAATGTGGTTCCTGGACCAGCAGCATTAACATTACTAGGGACTTGTTAGAAATGTACATTTTCAGGCCTGACCCAGGCCCACTGAATCAGAAACTCTGGGGGTGGACCTAATAATATGCATTTTCACAAGCTCTCCCAAGAGATTCTGGTGCTTATTAAAGGTGACATCCCCTCGCCCAGAGAAGCTCTTGAGTCACGCCGCAAGAAAGACCCAGAAGGAAGCTACGGGTCCATATGCAGTATCTCATGATCTAACCAACAACCTTATCAATTTGGTTCTGTTATTAACCCCATTTTATTGATAAGGGATTATGGCCATAGTCACAGAGCTAGTAAGAGGTGGAGCTGGGTCTTGAACACATTTTCTTCTCCCCCCCCCATATTCCTTTTTCATTTATTTATTTATTTATTTATTTTTAAAAAGCTGGCCAACCAATATCATCAGTCCCCATACTTTTTAATGTTTTCACACCTGTGAGTACCCCAAACCTGGGCATCCCTGTCCTAGATCCCATCCCCAGCCCCCTGCCATCATAGCCTTGTTGAACACATTTTCTTGACTTTACAGTGCAGTCTTCAAAACAGAGAATCTCAGAACAGGCTGGACCAATGTGTAGTTTAATGGACTTGGTGGAAGTCAAAGAGAGCAGCTTCTGGTGGGTGTATTCAGAAGAAAAATCCTTTTTATTGACCAAGTCACTAGTACATCAGATAGTTTGCATTTATCATTTCATTCTATCTTTGAAACAATTCTTTGCTGCGTATTTATCCTCATGTTGTAGATGAGGACTTAAGTTCAGAGAAGTTAAATAATTTGCCCAAATTCACACAGCTAGTAAATCCCTAGACCTGAACCCATACCTATCCCCAAAGCCATCTGCTTCTACTGTCGCTAATTTTCTTTCCTTTTTCCTTAGTGAAGTTCAAAATAAAGCATGAAGTGCTTAGGTTATATATGGATAAGAACAAAGGTGAGTTCTAAATAAAGGAGTTAAACGCCTTTCTCTACCATGAAATTAAGTAAAGAAGACTGAGACTATAAAATTGTAAAATATAAAATTTCCCGAAGGACATGCATTCCTTTTATACTGACTTCTTATTCAAAACCCATGGAGAGTTTATTCATTTGAGAGCAATTTTTCTTTCTTTTCTTTCTTGTATCTGATATCTTTGGTTTAGCATCAAATGCAAGCCTCTGGGATTGCTTATTAGAATAGCAATTATTTTGTGTTGGCTGGCCTAATCTTCTAAGATCTTTTGGGCTAAGGGATTAGGACAGCTCCAGTGCATGTGTAAACCCGTAGCTTGAGCAATACTCTACTGCAATTTTTCGTCTGAATGTTCTGTTTTTTTGCAGGTGAAAATCATAGCAATGAATGAGAATGTTGCTCTTAGGTCAGCCCTTGATAAAAATCTGAAGAGTGCTGTGACCACGGCTTTCCTCATGCTACCCGAAAGCTTTTCTGAAGAAGACCTCTTTATAGAGATTGCTGGACTGTCTTATTCAGGTTAGTAGATCTGGTGCTCACATTTTCTGCAAGGAGATTTGTTGCGCAGACCAACATTCCACTCCTCACGCTACACAGGAGGCATGGCACCCTTCGTCCTGGATCCCATCACTTCCCGTGCACGTTCCTGCAGGAACCCCATGATTTGCCTCCAAGGTCTCTCCTTCCCACATCTGTATATAGATCACCCCAGGGTAATCTTGCTGTTGTTGTTACTGTTCATTTTCATTTTGAAACAATTTCAAACTGACAGAAGAGTTTCAATAATGATATAAAAAACTCCCATATACCCTTTCCCCAGATTTGCCAATTTTAATGTTTCACCACACTTGTGTTGCCATTCTCTTTGTACTAGTGGTTTTCTGACTCTAGTGTGCATCAGAATCCCCTGGAGGGCTTGTAAAAACAGACTCCTGGGCCCACCCACACACAGCTGCTTTGGTAGGTCTGGGGGATGGAACCTAAGAATTTGTATTTCTGGAAAGTGGATGATGCCATTGCACCTCTATGGATCCCACTCGGAAAACCACTGCTCTCTCTGTATCTGCAAATACTGTATTATGTTTTTTTTTTTTCTGAACTATTTGAGAGTAGTTCATTCATATCCTGTCCCCATCAGGCCAAATGCTTCAGTATATGTTTCCCAAGAACAAGGATGTTCTCTTACGTAACCACAGTACAGTTACCAAATTCAGGAAGTTTATCACCAATACAGTACTTTTATCAAATTGAGGATCCATAGTCCATATGTTATTGCTGGTCACAGTGATGTCCTTTTTAGTGTTTTTTCCCCCTCAAGTACATGATCCAGTCAAGGATCACATTTTTTTTTTTTTTAATTTTTTTTTTTAACATTTATTTTTTTGGGACAGAGAGAGACAGAGCATGAATGGGGGAGGGGCAGAGAGAGAGGGAGACACAGAGTCAGAAACAGGGTCCAGGCTCTGAGCCATCAGCCCAGAGCCTGACGCGGGGCTCGAACTCACGGACCGCGAGATCGTGACCTGGCTGAAGTCGGACGCTTAACCGACTGCGCCACCCAGGCGCCCCAAGGATCACATTTATTAAGATGTCCTCTCTCTTTTATCTTTCAATCTGAAACACTTCCTTAGCCTTTTTTTGTCTTTCATGATATTCACATTTTGAAGTCTCAGACCAGTGATGTTTGTGCCCTGTCAAGCAGAGTTTTCTCTCTTCTAAGCAATCCATGGGGAGACATTTGAAGATCATGAATATATTCTGCTTCCCGTCAAACTTTCCTTCCTAGATTAAGCATTCAGTGATGATTCTTGCTTGAACCAGTCTTTACTATGATGGTTACAAAGTGGTGACTTTCCAGCTCCACCTCTCCTTGCACATAAAGGAAAAGCTTTCCCTTCTTCCCCATTCATTACTTTCTTTATCAATCTTAACTTCCTTTCCCTTTCTCCTTAAACCAGTTGTGTTCCTCAGATATGTCAAGGGCCCCCTTCAGAGGGGAAGGGGAAAGCTGAGAAAATAAAGCCCCTGGCCCCTAGCCCCTGACCTGGCCACAACCTGAGGGGAGTCCCCCTTCCTGTTTATTGTAGTAAGGATCTATGTAAAACTTCATTTACAAAAGAGTAGTCTGCAACTTTTAAAATAGTTTGAAAACCACTGTCTTAAATAAATGTCTTCTTTCCCAGCTTTTAAGTGTGAGTCAAGGAACTATGCTCAAAACACTGCAAAAGCAGTTTACTCATTTTCTGAATCCCTGTACAGATAAGATTTCATGGAAATCTAATGCTGAAAGAGACCACTAAGGCCTGTTCTTCAGTCTTTTTTTTCCCCCGAAAGGCAGCTTGCAGGACTACAGCTGCAGTTGCAATACTGGGGAGAAAGGAAGTGACAAAACCTCCGTCTTGGTCGCTTCCAGCTCCATGTGGCAGCAGCCCTGCCTTTCGGCAGAAAGTGGAGGAGCAAAGGCTGGTGCGGCTAAGTACCAGGATGAATGGGCCTGCACGCCACATGTGGGCAAAAGGGGCCCCCATGCTCCCCTGTGAAGAAAGATAGACCCAGAGCCTTTTTTGAAGGGCTAACTTGGTGGGAGAGGTGCAGAGCCGATTTCTGCTTTGCCCACATCACTGCCGCTCTTCCATTTTCTCCCCATGATCAACATCAGCAGAGTGTTGGCTGGATTCTAGGAGTTCCTATACATTCTGAGCATTGACTAAAGAAGTTTATCAAATGACATAACTGCCTGCACCTATGAGCAGACTTTAAGTTAGCATTCAAGCTGCAATCAGTCTTCAGCTGACTTTTGCTTTGTCTCCTGGAAGGGCCGTGATTTATACCCTTCTCTTCTCCTGTACTGTGAAACAGGTACTGGGTGTTCAGTGAGTACTTGCTGACTCATAACAGTATCATTCTCTGTTTTTGCTTCTTTTATAATAATTATTATACAGCAGTATAGCAGTGCTATACCAGACACAGATAGGTAGGTGGGTAAGTAGATAGATGAGTAAGTAGGTGGGTCGAGGGGAGGTTAGTTATATAGAAAAGTCGATCATTTATTCCATCATTGAAACCTCACACAACAAGCCTGTTTGTTCAACAGACATTTCCAGTGTGCCTTCCATGTGGCACACACTGCTCCAGGTCCTGGGTATACACTGGTGAGCATGACGTGAGTGAGACTCCTCAAGGAGTTCATGTTCTCTTAGGTAGAGCCAGACAGTAAAGAAGCAGTAAGGTCATTTCAGAGAGTGGTAAGCGCAATGAAGAGAAGAAAATAACTCATGATGAGGGCCACCATAACGGTGGATAGTCAGGGAGGACCCTCTAAGGTAGTGATGTCTGAGCTCATATCTAATAGTGGCATGGAGCTTGCCCTGGGCTCCCAGGAGAAGGGCAGAGAGAGAGAGAGAGTGAAAGAGAGCGTGCTTCCTATGAGGCAGGTCCTCACCTTGGTGTGCCTAGCTCCAACTTTCTCAGCTTCCACTTTTTCCCATTTCTTATCTGGTCTCCTCTTGCTCTCTTATCGTTATATTATTTATTGCTTAACCCAGATTTGGATCTGAGAATTTGACCAAGGATCCCACATTACTCATCTCACGGAGGTTGGCTTCTTTTTACTGCAAAATGTAGGACACAACATTTGGCACATGTTCTCCAGAGGGAACTGAATCCAGCTTGGTGCGGTCCCTAGCTTATATGTGAGACACTCTGCAAAGAGCATTCTATTAGCCAGTGGTTAGAACTGGGAACATACTTTTCCATTAGGACATTATATGATGGTTGTTCTTGGGCCAGGACACAGCACAATTAATGGTTACGTACTCTATAATATAATGGAATTAAAGTGGAATAGTGAGGCTAGGGAAGGATCTAGGCCCTGCAGGTAGATACCTTTCACAGATATGAGACCTGCCTCAGGCCATGTGTTGAAAGGCAAGCTTTTCCTCTTGCCTTTCCTAGACTTCTGAGAACCTAGTATCCTTGAACTGATTGGATTCTAACCTTTCTGCAAATCACCTAAATCTCCCAAGCCCCCGGAATATTTCAAACTTTAAATTATCCACCAATCTCATTTTTATTTACAGCTTTGACATTTATTTTGCACCGTTTCCATGTGAGAGACAATATGTTGTTCCTAACCTGCATAGGTCAGCATTTCTCCCTGGAAGGGGGTGGGGATGGGGAGACAGGAAACAGCATCTCTCCATATTATTGGGCAAGTTTCTGCCCGTAGTTACTAGCACAGACAAGAGCTGTCTGTATTACTAGCAGTAATAATAACCCCTTACAATTTTATATAGTATTTAAGGATCACTTTGCCTTGGGGGTCGGTCTTGATGGCTTTGTTGTAAATGATGGTGAGAAAGGAGTAGGTGGAAGATGAGAGCCTGAAAATTGGGAAGGAGAAAGCTTTCTAATCCTTCACTTATTCTTAGAAGTCAGCATTTAAGTAAACAGAAAAGGCAAACCAAATGAGCTTTAAAGGGTCACCTTGACCTTTCTCATGTAAGTACAAACTATTAAAATGACTAATTTTACATAATGATCCTGGTTTAACATTTATCAAATGAATCAGCGTCCCATACCTCATGAAGAATTAAAGCTATAATTTCTGCTCTAAGGAACTTCACATTAATAAACATGCAGTCATAGTGAGTCAGTGATAGGCTTAAAAACAACACGTGTAAAAAAAGCAGGGAGTATGAAAGAACACAGCTTGTTTAGGGAAGAAGGAATAGATAGATGTAACTGAAGTCCGTGGCTCATAGTAGGAGAAAACAGTAGTCATTATCATGTGCCAGGAACGACGCTCAATATTTTTGATTGAATAACTAGTTTAACCTTCACAATAACCCGTTCCTTTGACTGTGTGCTGATCTATTGCCCAATTTTAAGATTAGAAAACTGAGGCCCAAATCTGTCTAAGGTCATTTGTCTGGTAGGTTAGTAGGTAGTGGAGCTAGAATGTTATTTATTTATTATTTATTTATTTATTTATTTATTTTAACCTTTTTTTATTTTTGAGACAGAGAGAGAGAGACAGAGCATGAATGGGGGAGGGGCAGAGAGAGAGGGAGACACAGAACCGGAAGCAGGCTCCAGGCTCTGAGCCATCAGCCCAGAGCCTGACGCGGGGCTTGAACTCATGGACCGCGAGATCGTGACCTGAGCTGAAGTCAGATGCTTAACCGACTGAGCCACCCAGGCGCCCCTATTTATTTATTTTTTAAATGTTTATTTATCTTGAGAGAAAGAGAGAGTGAGGGAGGGGCAGAGAGAGAGAGAATCCCAAGCAGGCTCCACACTGTCAGTACAGAACCCAACATGGGGCTTGAACTCACAAACCCTGAGATTATGACCTGATCTGAAATCAAGAGTTAGACGCTTAGTAGGGGCACCTGGGTGGCTCAGTCAGTTAGGCATCTGTCTTCAATTCAGGTCATAATCTCACAGTTCCTGAGTTCAAGCCCCATGTCCAGCTCTGTGCTGACAGCTCAGAGCCTGGAGCCTGCTTTGGATTCTGT